TGGAATTAAATTTTAGCTTTTAGCCTTTCCAGCTGTGCCCATGAACCATCCCACAAGCCCGGGTGGGTGATTCGGATCCTGCTGGTGGCTGCTCTCCAGGCGTGCAGTCAGGAGGGACGTGGGACAAAGCTGAGCGAGAAGTCACTAATGAATTCTGAGAATTAATGAATTAATGAATGTGGGTGACACGATCTGAGCATGGCCAGGGAGCTCCTCTGGGCTGGACAGGTCCGAGCAGTGCGTGAGGAGCTCCCGGCTCCGCTCCTGAGCTGCAGCTGAGCTGCAGATGGCAGCTCACGATAGTTCAGTTTCGTTTTTGGTGGGTGTTTTCTCATTCCTTTGTTGAAATTACATGTTTGGGAACATTTCCTTATGTGGTGCAGCTTGTTTGTTTGTTTGGTAAGAATTGTAAATTGCACACGCAGAGAGACTGTGGGATCCGGGCCAAGGTTAGAGACGGTTCATAGGAAAGAAGCGTCTGAAGTATGTGAATATTTCCTTTGAATTGAAGTTAAGGTTGGGTTGTTTCCTTTCGTTTGGTTGTATTTTTTTCCTGGCTGGTGTCTGGCCTGCAAACAAACCCGCAGTATAGATAACTCTTGTAAGTGACAGCATCCAAAAGTTCTCCCTGTTGGTGAGCAGTTGTTTTTTGGGCATTTTTTTTTCCCATCAAAGGATAGTGAGGGCTTTTTTTGCGTTTTTTGAAAGGAGTCTTCTCCAGTGAACCACTGCAGGTAGGGATACTTCTCCTAATACTGAAAATACCTAGTGCATGCCTGTTGCATTGTGATTTGGGTTGTTTTCTTTTTTTTTTTTTTTGAGCACTGTGTTTAATTTCACTTCCCTCATGAGTGGGGATGGTGGAAGAGGAAGAAGCTCTGGGCAGGGTGGTTGTGCCAGAGGGCCCTGACAGCTCCCTGTGCCTGGGCTGGGCTGGGCTGGCAGCAGATCTGCAGGAATTTGGGGCTCCTGCAGAGCTGCTCTTATCAGGGGTGGGCAGGCTGGGGACAGTGGGACAGGGTGAGCACCAGCACCCTGTGGCACGGAGGGGGAGGTGGCCAAGCAGGAAAGTCAGGAGCCTTTGGGAGAGTCAGTGGTGCAGAATAAAATGGGTCTGAGCCAACACAGGCACCTCTGGGTTGTGCAAACACCTCGTGGGTGCTCAGGGACCTGCAGGGACTGGCACCTCTTTGCCTGAGCTCAGCAATGCCAGACCTCGTTGTCTTTGCTTCCCTGCCTTCAGTTTGTGTGGTAGCACCTCTTGGGGTTGGTTATTTCTTTAAGAGCCTGTGCACTGGGTTATTTGCATCTGGAATTTGCTGCTTGGATCTGATTAAACATTGAACCCAAAGCAAACATGGAAGCTCTGGTGTTGCATCAGGGCAGGCATGAGCCATGAGCACGAGCCCTGTGTTACCTGGCCAGGTAGGGAGCCTTCCTCCCTTGGAGAGCTTGTTTTCTCTCCACATGCAGTGCAGGATGATGACATTTCCCCCAGAAATACAAACCAGGTATTTCTGTTGGAGCAGTCTGTATTTCTCTTTTTTTTTTTTTTTTTGGCCCTTCTTCCTTTTTTGGCTCTGACTTGCCTTTTGTGCCGTTTTTGCAAAGTCACTGTCCCGGGCTGATCTTTGGCCAGCTTCATTCTGTTCTCCTGCCCCTTGAAATCTCCTCTCTGATCCGAGTACAGACTTGTCCCTGCATGGAAAGCAAAGTGTCCTGTCCTTCCTAGGGCAGCTGTGGAGCCCCCAGAGCCTTGAGGGACACCAGGTTTTGTCCCGTGGTGGCTTTGCCCCTCGTGTCTGAAGGACACAGGTCGGGCTGTGCCCTGAGCTGGGCGCCTGCCATGCCCTGTCCCACCTGTCCCCCTGCCAGCGCTGAGCTTTGGCTGTTTTTGGGTGCCCAGGTCCAGCACAGCTGCGAGCTAAATTCCTGCACACCGAGCACGAGCTGAGGGAGCCCAAGACAGTGAGCTAGGCCGACATGAAGGTGGAAATCCTGCCAGCCCTCACTGACAACTACATGTACCTCCTCATCGACCAGGACACCAGGGAGGCTGCCATCGTTGACCCCGTGCAGCCCCAGAAGGTAACGCTGCCCTGGCTCTGGGATGGCTTCCAGGATGTCCCTTCCAGGAGGGAACGAGCCCCACGCTGCCTCAGGTGTGGGGGAAAGGCTGCAAGGGCTGGCTGTGCACAGGGACAGCCAGGGGACACCCCAGGGATGGCTGTGTCCTGAATTCCCCCCAGGGATGGCTGTGTCCTGAATTCCCCCCAGGGATGGCTGTGTCCCTCACCCAGGCATGTCTGTGTCCCTCATCCCTCCAGGAATCACTGACCTGATTTGGGATTTTGACCTTAATTTGATGTAGGGCAGAAAAGGAAAATGGCAACACATTTTGTGTTGCCCTCTGTCTCCAGCCTGGGTGGGCTGAGCTCCCTGCAGAGCTGCTGTGCCTCTCACTCCTGCATCCAGGTGCCTCCAGGGGTGCTGCCAGCTCGTTCCATCCAGGGTGTCACTCTCCTCCCGTGTCCCTCCTGCAGGTTTTGGATGCAGTCAAAAAGCACGGCGTGAAGCTGACCACTGTCCTGACCACCCACCACCACTGGTAACTTCCCTCTCCTGGTCCCTCCCTGCTCTCCTGCACCCTCCAGGTGATCCCTGAGCAGCAGGATCAGAGCTCTGAGCTGTGTGTCAGTGCCTTTCACCTTTAAAATCCAGATTTTTTCAGGGAGCCAGTGCAGTGACCGGGTGTGCAGGCAGCTGTGGGGTGTGGGAGGGAGCACACTGGTGCTGAGGTGCCAGGACAGGCCCCTGTCACCCTGCTCAGCATGGTGGGAGGATCACAGAGGTGCAGATCAGCTCTGCCAGGGCTGTAAAATGAAGGTTTTGCTGCAGTAAGCTGTCTGTGGGTCAGAGTGGAGCCACATCTGTGGCTGGAGAGTGAAACAAGCAGCCCTGAGCTGGGCAGCAGCAGGGCAGAGCTGGGCTCTGGGCTGTGTGTGTGCCTGCTCCCTGGTGCTCTGTGGGATGCTGGATTGCACATTTTCCACTCACCCCCTTCCCTCCCTGCCCCAAATCCTGGAGAGGTGACTGGGAGCCCCTAAGGCTGCAGTTTCCCAGCTGGGGATGGATTTGTCAGGGATTGAGTCAGGGATTGATCCCCCCTCGTTGCTGGAGAAACCATCTCCACTCCCGCTGTCGTGGCCTGTGAGGAGCGAGAGATCCTGGGAGAGGGCTGGATCAGGAACGAGCACCTGGAGAGCTGAGCACTGAGCCACAGACCTGTGCTCATCCCTCCCCAAATGCCTTCTTCCCCTGCAGGGACCACGCTGGAGGCAACGAGAAGCTGGTGAAGCTGGAGCCGGGGCTGCGCGTGTGCGGGGGGGACAGCAGGGTGGGGGCCCTGACGCAGAGAGTGTCCCACCTGACAGCTCTGCAGGTAAAGGGCCCGCGGGGCCTGGGCACCCCTCCCCTGGCACAGCTGGGTTCCCAGCCCGGCTGGGCAGCTCGGGTGTTGAAATGCAGCTTTGCCCTTTTCCTGGTGACTGCCACCCCTCTGCCACGGGTGAGGATGGCACCGAGGGACCTGGGACATGCTGCGTGTCCCTGGGCAGGTGTGGGGCAGGGCAGGGGACAAAATAGGGGCTGTGTGACAGGACAGGGGCTGTGACAGAGCAGGGACTGTGTGACAGGGCAGGGGCAGTGTGACAGGACAGGGAAAATGTGACAGGGACAATGTGACAGGACAGGGATGGTGTGACAGGGGCTGTGTGACAGGACAGGGACAATGTGACAGGGACGGTGTGACAGGGCAAGGATGGTGTGACAGGGGCTGTGTGACAGGACAGGGACAATGTGACAGGGACGGTGTGACAGGGCAAGGACAGTGTGACAGGGGCTGTGACAGAGCAGGGATGGTGCGACAGGAAAGGTGTGACAGGACAGGGATGGTGTGACAGGAACAGTGTGTCAGGGGCTGTGACAGGGCAGGGATGGTGTGACCGGGGCTGTGTGACAGGGACAGTGTGACAGAGCAGGGACAGTGTGACAGGACGGGCTGTGTGACGTGACGGGGACAGTGTGACAGGGCAGGGATGGCATTACAGGGACAATGTGACAGGACAGGGACAGTGTGACATGAACAGTGTGACAGGGTAGGGGCAGTGTGACAAGGACAGTGTGGCAATGCAGGGACTGTGTGACAGGGCAGGGATGGTGTTACAGGGACCGTGTGACAGGGCAGGAACAATGTGACAGGACAGGGGCAGTGTGGCAGGGACAGTGTGACAGGGACTGTGCCCTGCCAGGAGCACGGCGAGCACTGAGCAGATGCAGGTGTTCTGTGGGATGGCAGCTGGGACGTGGGGGCAGGAAGGCAGTGCCAGCCTGTGGGGCTGTCCCCTGGCTGTCCCCTGGCTGTCCCCTGGCTGTCCCCTGGCAGGAGAGCTGCAGGCGGGCATGGAGGGCACTGCTGCCCTGGCTGCACCCCGCGAGGGGCAGCAGCACAGCAGGGTGGGCAGATGAGGCTGGGGTTCGTGCTTGCCTCTTCCTCAGTGCCATCCACTTCTCCCTTCAGCTCCATCTCTGTTTGGAGCTTTCCTCCCGCTCGAGCAGCTTCGTTTGGGACTCTCTGTTGGCTCTTGCTGCCAGCCAGGCTCTGAGTGCATGGAAGTGAGAGGGTCTGGCAGTTCCCTTGGCCAGGACACCCGCTTGGAGGAAGCAGCTCCCAGCACAGCCCTGCCTGCCTGGGCTCTCCCAGGGGCAGAGCTGTTCCTGGCCAGACTTAGGAGATTTAGGAGGCAGATTTAGGACCATTAGAGACTAAGAGTAGCAGTTCTTTCCTAACGGTGCAATTGCAGCTTCAGCTTTAGTGTTCTGCCTTCTTCCCAGGTGGGATCTCTGAGTGTGAAATGCCTCAGTACGCCGTGTCACACCTCGGGACACATCTGTTATTATGTGACTAAGCCAAATAGCTCCGAGCCACCTGCAGTTTTTACAGGTGAGGACTTGGGAGATCCCCTGGCCAAAACAGAAGCTGCCCCTCTGCCTGGGTGCCTCTGGCTCTGGATGTGCTTCCCTCCCTTCCTGCGGCTGCTGAACAGCCACGTCTTGCTCCCCTTTCCCAGCAGGAGCTGTAGGTGGGGCTGGGGGAGCCCCTCTGGGTTTGTAAGCCAGGGCTGCACTCAGGCAACACCGAGCCCTGCAGTCCTACATCCAGCATTTTTTTTCCTGGATAAAAGAGCTGTTGCTTTCCTGTCTCAGGCCAAAGTGGCTGATCCCAAACCCTGTTGCTTTTCCATGTATCTGCCAGCAGAGAGAGGAGAGAGCAGGGAGTCAGAGAGGGCTGGTGCTCCACTGCTGGTGGCCAGGGCCTGGATCCTGGTGTGGGGAGAAGGATTCCTCTTCCCTGGGGCTGTGCTTCATCCCAGAGCTCACAGAAGCTCCTGCATGGAAGAGAAAGAGGCTTCAACAAGGTTTTAGGGAGAAAATAGAGGCGACTCACCTTTGTTCAGTTCCACAGCAAAGCACAAGTGTTCCTTGTCCCCTGTAGGAGGGACAGCAGGGGACAGGGGCTGCCCTCAGGCAGGAGGTGCCTCAGCAGCCACGTTTGCCACAGCCTGGATGTCCCCGTGCTCCTGCTGCTGTGCTGGGGCAGCAGTGGCAGGGCTGAGCCCCCAGGCTGGCTGTGGGCAGCCTGCTGTGGGGCTGATTGCGTGTCACCCCTGCGGGTGACACTGTGGGCAGCCTGCTGTGGGGCTGATGGCGTGTCACCCCTGGGGGTGACACTGTGGGCAGCCTGCTGTGGGGCTGATGGCGTGTCACCCCTGCAGGTGACACCCTGTTCGTGGCTGGCTGCGGGAAGTTCTTCGAGGGCACCCCGGAGGAGATGTACAAGGCACTGATTGAGATTTTGGGCAGCCTGGACCCCAAAACGGTACCAAGCTCTCCTTTTGTTATTCTGAAAGAATAATAAAGTACTGGAATTGTCTTCCTAGGGGGTGGTGGGATCACCATCTCTGGATGTGTTTAAAACAAGACTGGACTTGGCACTCGGTGCTCTGGTCTGGTTGTGGTGTTAGGGCATGGGTTGGACTTGGTGATCTCAGAGGTCTCTTCCAACCTCATGATTCTGGGATTCTGTGATTCTGTTTTGTGTGAGTGAGCCAGCCCAAACCAGCACACAGTGCAGAGAAACACCCTGAGAGTGCTGCTGTTCAGAGAGGCTCTGGGTGTGCAAGGAATGAATGCTCACAAATTCTGCATAGCTGCAGTGCTCTGGGAAGGATTTGCCTGCCCCAAATGTGTTTGTGCTTTGTGGGGAAGGAGCAGGGGCTGGTTATTAAAGGCTGCTGAGCTGGGACATGGGGCTCTCTCACTTCTTCAGCTGGCAGCTTGTCCTGCCTGCTTGCCCCGCCTGTCTCCAGCGAGGGCTGTTGGGTTGAGTGTGTTGTTCCTGCTGTGCTGGTGGCACCTGGCTGTCCCCCTCGGTACCTTTGGTGTCCCCAGTGTCACTGTCCCTTCCTCTTCCCAGAGGGTTTACTGTGGCCACGAGTACACCATCAACAACCTCAAGTTTGCTCGGCACGTGGAGCCCGGCAACCCCAGCATCCAGGAGAAGCTGGCCTGGGCCAAGGTGAGCTGCTCCTCTCCCTGCACACAGAGCCCTGCTGAGGAGCTGGAGGAGACGGGACCACGCTGGGGAGAAGCAGAGGGAGCTGCAGGGTGCTGAGGAGGAGCAGGGTTTGGCTGTGCCCAGGGTTTGCTGGCTGGGGGAGGAGGAGGAGGAGGAGTTCCCTGCCGTGCTCTGTGCAGGACACTCCTGGTGCCCAGGATTGCTGCTGGAGCTGTGTCAGAGTCTGTGGTGTTGATGATCCCAAAGTTGTAGAAAGTCTCTGTCTTTCTGCCTCACTACCAAAGAAGCCATAATTTATCTGTGCTGGTTTCCAGGTTGTTTATTCTGTTGATCTCTCACATGTTCTGCTGCCCTGCCCAGCTCTGTCCTGCAGGGCAGTGTGTGGGGCTCTGCCCTCAGTGGGATGTTACAAACATTCAATACCAGAAACTCCCTGGGCTGGATTTACAATAACGTGCCAATATCTGTCACCTACGTTGGACAGTGTGTCCCCAGCCTGAACCAACAGAAAAATGCCAACACCACAGTGAGACATGGAGGGCATGAAGAAGGAGAAAAAGGACAAGGCACACCCAATTTCCTCCAGCTTGTCCCCTTGGGACCCCTCATCTAGAAACCTAACATTTTACTTTTGCACCCGTGCCACACTTAATTATTACTCATATCAAACACTCAGAGGTGGTAATTGATCCTGTAAGATTGAAAACTCTTTTCCATGGGCAGAGATCACAGCCAGTGTCTCTGGGGGCTCTGTAGAGCCTGTCTGTGATCTCTGTCCATGGGTTCCTGACCCCTGCAGGGTCCCAGGGCAGCCAGGGGGGTGTATGGATCCCCACAGAGCTGCAGCGTGTCCCTCCCTGCAGGCCCGCTACGACAGTGGGGAGCCCACCATCCCCTCCACCCTCGCCGAGGAGTTCACCTACAACCCCTTCATGCGAGTGAGGTAGGGAGCTCCTGCTGCTGGGGGGCTCTGGGGATGGGGGGCTGGCCCAGGGTCTCCCACATTCCCATCTGGATGCCTCTGAGGCTCTCCCTGCTGTCCTGGCAGAAGGGATTTGGGGTTGTGCTGAGCATCCTGACTCAGGACACGGAGCAGGCTTTGTTGTGTCCTGTTCTTCATCTTCACCTGCTGGGGCACTAAAATGCCATTTCCTCCTGGTGCCTCCAGAGCTGGGGCTCCATCCTCACCCTGCTCTTCCCTCCTGGCAGGGAGAAGTCAGTCCAGGACCACGCTGGGGAGAGCGACCCTGTGCGGGCCATGGGGGCCATCAGGAGGGAGAAGGACAACTTCAGGGTGCCCAGGGACTGAGCCCTGCCTGCATCGCTTCAGTCTTCACTTTAATGTCACTTCAAGTGTCACTTAGACCATTCAGATGTTCTAGCAGTCAAATCTGTTGTGGTTGAGACAAGTTTTATTTAGTTTTTTTTTGTTTTAATTAATGAAAAAACAAAGCACTTTGCCCTTGTTGAGATGTTCTACAGCATATTTATATTATGATGAAGAATATTTATCCTCCTCTTGCTGTCAAGCTGTTGTGTCACCTGCAGATTGTTGTGTGAGTGTTGGGCAGGATCACACCTGGAGGTTTAGGAAGGAGCTCCTGTCATTTCTCTGGGAGCCTGCTGTGCTTGCAGAAGGTGGGGCTGAGGTGCCTTTGGGTGAAGGTGGGGCTGAGGTGCCTTTGGGTGAAGGGTGGGACTGAGATCTTTGTGTGAAGCAGAGACCAAACACAGGAGCTGGAATGTTAAAGTTTCCTCCATGCTGCTCCTTCAGCATTCTGGGTGTCCTCCTGGCTCCTCTAAAACCAGTTCCAGGGACAGAGCTGCTGTGGCAGTGCTGTCCCAGGGTGTCACCTGGGAGCTCCAGGGGCTGGCCTGGCTCTGGGGGTGGCTCTGGGGCTGTCCAGCTGCTCCCTTGTCCCTGGCGTTGCTGTGTTTGCACCCTTTGAGTGTTGCATGGACCTGCTCCCCGCTGTGCCCTGTGCCAGCCCCCAGACCAGCCTGGCTCCGTGTGCAGGACCAGCCACTCTGCTGAGTGATGTCCCCCGAGTGTGGTGACACAACGGAGCGCTTGTGACCTGTCCCCAGGTGAGCAGGGATGTGGGGTGGCACCAGGTCTCCATTTGCTTTAAAATGCTGAATTTGGTGTGGCTGTCCTGGTGGGGGTGACTGCCCTGAGGGCTGCGCAGAGGGGAAATAAAGAAGCAGAGCTCCTTAACTCACAGGTTTCTTCATTTCTTGGCTTTGGGCTAAAGATTGAGGGCAACGAACTCTGGGAGTGTCGTTCTACCTAATCCTGGGCTGGGAGGGTGGCATTGTGGGGACCCCAGGGTATTTCTGTATTTTTGTGAAAGGGGAGCAGAGAAGGTTCAGCCCTGGTTTTGCTGCCTGTGAGTGCCAGTCCCTCCTCACAGGTGGCATTTGGGTCCCTCAGGACAAGAGGGACATGGAGGGGCTGGAGCGTGTCCAGGGAAGGGATCAGAGCAGGGGAGGGCCTGGAGAATCCCTGAGGGAGCTGGGAAGGGGCTGGAGAGTTCCTGAGGGAGCTGGGGAGGGGCTGGAGAATCCCTGAGGGAGCTGGGAAGGGAATGGAGGATCCTGAGGGAGCTGGGAAGGGGCTGGAGGATCCTGAGGGAGCTGGGAAGGGGCTGTAGAGTTCCTGAGGGAGCTGGGAAGGGGCTGGAGAGTTCCTGAGGAGCTGGGAAGGGAATGGAGAGTTCCTGAGGGAGCTGAGGGGGCTCAGCCTGGAGCAAAGGAGCTCAGGGGGAATTTCTGGCTCTGCACAGCTCCTGCCAGGAGGGGACAGCCAGGGGGGATTTGGGATCTGTTCCCAGGGAACAGGGACAGGAGGAGAGGGAACGGCCTCAGGCTGGGCCAGGGGAGCTCAGGGTGAATTTATATTTGATATTTGATTTGAATTTCTATTTTAATATTTGGGAGAATTTCCTCCTGGAGGAGCTGTCCAGCCCTGGCACAGCTGCCCAGGGCAGGGGTGGAGTTCCCATCCCCGAGGGGATTTAGCAGCCCTGGGGATGTGGCACTTGGGGACATGGGACAGCGCTGGCTTTGGCTTTTTGGGGGCAGGGCTGGGGGGCTTCCCCTGATTCTGGGGGCAGGG